TCAATATGACAATTGATGAAATTGAGTGTGCAGTATATTTTAACATATTGCACTCTTTAAAGGAATGTAAAACTGAAGTCTATACTTACTATACTATACTATACCTGTTTTGTTCAACACTAGATAAATTTGTGCAACAACTAAATATGTATTTATCACAAACAGTCATTCAAGTTAATTGTAGATATTAGTATGCTTCGAATTTCCTGCCACTCAATTTCGTTTCATCAGAGTAGCTTTAAGATTTGGTAATCCTCAGTATGTGAATGTTTCGTACAACCACTAGAAACAGTTTGTGTACCTGGTAGGTAATCTTAGCTTAAATAAATTATGTTCTAACACTGTTTCATTATCACTTGCGAATTAGATATATGATTGAATTCAATGAGATACTTTTAAGACCGTAACCAAAAAAAATTCAAGATTTTTCGATTAAGTTACTCAATAAATTCAATCATGTTCTTTCCAACTAATTTGAACTTCATTTACTTACTTTTTGTGAGTTTTTATTCATACTACTTTTTATAATAAAATAGTGAATTCGACTTACTATAATTTATTTATCATTTTGAGCGTTTATTTTCTCCGCATGTATAGAATATTCCACTGCCTAATATTAAGGAAATGATTGCTTTTTCTTTTGAGCACTATGGTAATACAATATTTTTTTAAATAGAAAACTACGTCTCACAACCTAAGTACTTTTTACCTTAATTCACTCGATAGTCTAAACATCTCGGGAAATCGACTTTTCAAAAAATCCTTACAGATTAGCCGAATGAATGTAATGACAAACCACAATACCTGACAAATAACTTCAAACAAATTCGAGTGATTGCTTCAAACAATATAATGGTAAAAATCACCTTTAGATAATATTGGTGGCAAGTGTTGAGCAAGTCAAAGAAATGAGGTGAATATTCAGCTTCAATTGGCATAAAAGGTATAATATTTCAAAAGTTAGATGGTCCAAACAAATTTGAGTATAAATTTTGATCTCTTCAGCTTTTAATCCAATTGTATTACTGTTCTAAACTTGAGTTTTCTTAAATTGGAGATTCTTTGAAAGCTTTCACGAGGTGTAAAAATGGAACCTCCACTCTCCTACTTCCATATAGATAAACTTCTACGTACGTATGATGGATATTTGGTGGTAAAGTTAAAGACCAACTTCAAAGCCCTCGTTGAATGTTGATAAGTATTTAAACTGATTGAAAATGATTAGTTCATCATCTGATTAAGCCATCATTTGTATGGCATTGATTATAATAGGTTATTACTCGAAGTTAGTTCATTACTGATCCTATCGTATTCATATTCTTTTGATAGTAAAAAAGAGGACTATCTTCACTAAGTTATTTCACAGAATATAGAAGCATGAACTTGTTGAAGCTAAAATAACATTCGTTAAGTGTATACTTCTAAGAACACCAGTTAGTGCCTTCACTATCTATCTGGATAAATAAACCTTGTGATATTCATGCCTTTTTTATTCAATCATATATGATGATGAGAATTGTTTGGAATACTTGGTGAATAGGTAGATTATTTACAGTAAAGAAAAATTCGGTAAATGTTTGTAGTGTATCCAGTTTTATGAAGAGAATGCGATTGGTTTAATAGACACATTCATTATTGTAACCAATTTTATCAGTGATTGTTTAACTGTACTTTTTATTTATATCACACTTTACGCGCAAACTTTCTGTTTTATGTTGCTGCCATCATTGCTACATCATCTCTGTAATTTCGCCCATCGTTTCTGGCTCGATTTCGGTATTCATTCAATACCATGAAATCGCCAGTAAATATATTTTTCACCATAGATTTATTTATATTCTCGGTGACGGGCTCGTAATTAGTATTTAGTGGTGATCATAGTCAATCTCTACTCGATCATCAATAAATATTATCAAAATGCAAGCTGATCGACTGTGAACTGATCAGTGGTCCGTTCGTTGTTATACATAAAAACCAAACAAATAAAAGGTGATGCAGTTTAACTCCATAGACCTGATAAAAAATACTTCAGACTGGAACTATATTTCGTTGAACATATAAATAAAAAGTTACATTAATTTTTATGTTCTTTTAAGTGCGATACTCGTCACAACCTGTCAAAACAACACATTTATGAACAAAATGACTGAACCGATAGACATTTGAATAATTTAGGGACAGTTAAACAACTACTTAAATTTAAAAAACAAACAGAACTCCATCTTCCGGAATATGAGTTTCCTATTTCCAACTGTGTTCCCAGTCAACAAGGTTGGAATGTAAAAAAATGAGTTAATGATTGATACTGTTGAATTTACATGAACATCAGGATTATATTATTTTGTCTAATCGAACGAGTTAGCTAGCTGAGACATAAATTCAATTTAGATTACTTGTGGACGAATATATCGAATACTTTTTCCCTAGGAATTCTAGCAGAATTTATATTGATCTATGTTTTTCATTATACCTATCAGTACCAATGAATTAGGAATTTTATGAAGAACTGAAGTTCTCGGATGAAAATATTTAGGCATACGAGATCTCATCAATAATCTGATCTGAATTTTGACTTTGAGTACGAAGTAAAAATTAAATGTATATCTCATCACAAATGCTTGAACATGAAAATATAAAGTTCTTATCTACGCTCAAATGAAGATTACTTCAGGAAAATGATAACACTAATAATGTCTTCATAAACTTTTCAAAGATATGATATTTTCATATTTCTGAATTCTTTGTATCACGTAGTATTCGCTAATCATGAGAGACCAAATATCTATCAGCATCCTAATATCCAAATTCGGAGAATTTTGTTTGTCTACACAGGCGAAAATAACGTCACATTGTCGATCTGATGGAAGTACCTTACGGAACAAAAAATTACTACTGATACATTCATCATTGAGTAGATTCCATAAAGACTTACAGAATTTATAGCAATAGGAAGCGAGTATAATCTCTACTAGGTGATTACGTCTAACAAGGTATACAGCCTCAGAACTCGAACAAGACGAATAGTTAAATTTTAAGCTGTCCAAAGTTATATCATAGAAAATACATAGAAAATAATAAATATTTAGAAATTCAAGAATAGGGAGAAAAATAAGAAATTCTGAAATCACTCTTATTACAAAGACGAAAATAGAGAATAAACAAAAATACCAAAGAAATTTCAGCTATATAGAGTAGGCGCAATGCGATGACCTGTAGAATAAACGATCTACATTCAGTCAGATTTGAAATTCATCAGGTAGCAGTAATTACACCTCAGAGTTAATGTTCATTCCACCAAACGAACATATTGTTAAACACTAGGTCTAATAGTCTACTTATAACTACACGTGACACCACAATTTCACTTTGTCGGCGGGTCTCAAATGAGGGAGAAACACCTAGTCTATGCACTATATCCTTCGACAGTACTCTTTCTCTGACCAAAATCCAGAATTGGAACGTTCCTCAAACAACAACAATAATATTAATATGAGCAATCATTTTAGTCTGATCACATATTTTCTTTATACCTGAATTAAGAGATGTGGTCCTAACATACAAACTCAGATGAATATAAAACATTCATAAATATCGATTCATAATGCGTCCAGATGTTAATTCAACCATCCAAAACACAATCAGATGAAGTCATTGCGATGACAGTTTCTCACAATACACCACTCAGTCGACATTACCAACGCTCCAGTGAATGGTATCCTAAGTGTGAATTATTAGGCGCAATAGGGAAGAATGACGACTGTTATAACAAATTGAATCGATTCATCGAAATAAAACAATAGACGTGTAAGATAAGACGATCAGTGCAACCAACCACTTTATACCACCAAAATGTGTGCGTTGTAGAATTATATACATGCATTCATTCACGCTACTTACTAATACCTAGTAGTATCGTACAGATACATAAAATCAGCTAACGGTTAGACAACTAGGAGTAAATTCAAGCAGCGATTGATGTATGTCATCACGAGAGTCACGGACCTGTTCTATTCTACTTAGATATCCTAAATATTACAGTGGACAGAGATTCTAAGTACGAGAAGGTTCTTCAAAATGCACGGAGTAATAAATCAAACAAGCTTACAAACTTCATCTTGACTTACTGTTGTTTTATATTGATGTAAATGAATATTTATATTCTGTTATTTATTTGACACAACATTTCATAGTTGAACAGAAGTCAAAATGATTAATAAAGGGGTATCAATTGAAAGCTAGTTACAAGATGATCTAAGAAGAATACAAGATATAACTACACTACCAAATGACATATGATACAGGGGTTGGAAATGTGAATAAATTCCAATGCTTGACACTCAATTGAAAGTGCAAAAATAAACGTCCGAGATAGAACTTATTTACAGTGAAATTAGACTAGACGTGTAAAACCTGCAATCCATCACTTACACTTAATGATACCAGTGTTTGTGTGTTTATGAGTGTTCGTGGAGGTGTCTTCGTCCGCTAATATTGCTATCAGCTGTCTACTCACAACACATACCAAAATGTTTTGCATTTCAACTTCAAAACCTATATTCCTAACTATGAATTGTGTTACAGGTAAATTAGGATTCGACAACAAATCGCGACTGATGTGTGTTGTGTTGTGAGATGGATAAATGAACACGCAAAATACCATCAGCTGTCCTCTTTGTTATCACGTTCTATGCAAATTAAACACTAGTTGGATTACACATTCGACGTAAATTAGCATGCAGATTGACTATGGACAGATCGGATATACGTGATGATGAAAACAACTGGTCATCTGTAAACTACACAACCCATTTCTTCTCATGTGTATCAATCATAACAAAGTCAAGTATTCAATATTTATTTTATTTCCAATATGAATAGATAACATGTGAACAATCACACAATGTAATAGGTACAAATATTAGAGAAAATACATTCACATGACACTGACGAATAGCGATATGTGTGTAATAGTTAAGATGGCAGCTTAATGGTTAAGTGGTTCAGTGAAACAAAGATGGTGACAGTGGAATTATTGATGAAACTGTCTTGTAAATTGTCTCACTACAACAAGCATATACAATACCAGTGAACATTGGTATTAGTAAATATCGACATATACACAGGATACGATCAATCCGTTTACCAGGACGTTGTAGTTCATCAATCGCCTGAATCATTATGCCTCTCTCGTTTAAATGTGGATAAGGTACATCTGCTGGTGGGACAGGCAAACACAGGAAATCACACAATGCTTTCCAACCTTGACTTGATTCAAATACTAACAAACGATCAGACGGAATACTTTTGATCACCTCATCGTTCCAGCTAGTATAAATACTTTTCAATTGTTCATCTGTCACTTTGTAAAAATCTCTTCCCAATGTCTGTCGAAACATTTGATAATGCAATTTATATAAGTTTTGCAAACCAAATAGTCGATCAACAATGCGTTGTCCAAGTGATGGCTTTTGATACAATGTCTCTGACAGTGTAGTTGCACGACAACTTGCAACCCATTCATCCGGATCACGAACAGTTAGAATAATCTGAAAATTCATCGACAACATTGACAAATTAATTTACTTTTAGATCAAACATTGTGCCCGATGGATGATGATGATGATGATGATGATGATGATGATGATGATGACATTGAGAGTTGAAGTAAACATTGATCACCAACAACTAACTGCAACACTTTTTTTGGTTCATTCTAGATTGACGGGGGAACAACATCAAACGTTTGAATTGTCTCTGAATGCAATCATTATGTGGTTGTTGATTTATGTCGACAGTGTGGATTAGTATCACTCAAATAGTACAGTCCATTACCAACTGACTACTACTCACAATCTTGTCATCATAATCTATTAGATGAATAATTGCAGTAACTGATATCAAAATTGTCATCATTATTGTTTCGATTGTAAGTGATGAATAGCTTATTTGTAGTAACAACAACAACTACTACTACCACCATTCATGACTATCATGTTTCACTTCTCAAATCTAATTCACTCAATTATACTTCTCGATTGATATCTTCGAATCATGATCTTTCCGACTACTAAAAATACTTGTATTACCTCTAACACTATACGATTTGAATCGTACGTGTGTAAGTAAGTACAAACATCCATGTTGTAGCACACTATCTAACTAACTGACTGATAACAAAAATGTCAAAAATAGTATAATGAAATTCTAATCATCTGTGTGTGTATATGTGTACAATGCTAACTTCTACAATTGATCTGCTTTCAATTGACCTAAATAACACAACGCACTTCATCAACACACACACACACACACACATCATTTTTCATGAATACCATATAGAAACTTATCACCTTCCATATATAGATGGTTTGTAAATTAAATAAAAAAATGTAAGAATTTTGAAATACCAACCATAATACTAAACCATAAAACCAAAACATCAAGTTGTAACAAGTGATTGCAAAAGCACACATCGTCATTCACCTATTTCTATGCCTACTGAAATTGACTCGTTAAAGTCATCTCACATTGGAAATGGTGTTCAGATTTGTGTATATTCGCAGAGTCGATTCTCAGCACTCGCGGATTTGAAAAAATATCATCATTTGTTCCTTGAACAATACATCAGGTGAAACATATTTGTGATTAGCGAGAAAATAATCTCCTCCAAAATATTTCTGTATTGTCAATGTTGCTATGACACAATCCTGTTGTCGCTTGTACACATATTCAAATATTGAAATTGGCAAATATGCTTGCCTCTCATGTTCATATAACACTGATTGAAAAAAAAAATACTCAAAAGATATAACAACATTTTAGACTGATTAAATTCAAAACACTCAAAAAATTTACATATATCACTAACAACTCACTTTGGCATTTGGATAAACTTTTGACAAGTGTTTATAAAATCCGGCAGTTGGATAATCTACTGCAGCCACAAAATCAGTATAAATGTGTGACCAAAATTCTTCAGGTATTTCTCTCTTCTCTCTATCCTGTTTTATTGCCCACAACCATAATTTGATATGAGGTTCACGAAGATTGTGTACTAATTCTCGCATATGATAGCATTGTTTCTTATATAAGTACTCCAAAGCAAACTTCAGACTGGTTGTTCCAGAACGCATAAGTCCAGCTCCAATCACTTGTAGACCGAAATCCATTTGCGAATTCACTTCTTGCATTTCAGTCGACTTTCCTATAATCAACAAAACTAATTTTAGTCAATCATGTAAGATTTCAACTTGTCATAAACACAGTCTTTCTAATATCTAAACTATGGTATACAAAACTTACACAATCTATGCTCATTTCATGCTCTGTATTCTTAGTAGATAGTTTGACCATGAAAATCTTTGTCAATACACTTTGTCAATACACTACACTCAGTTCAACAATCAGACTATGCAATATAAGAGTGTTTTATCTAAAAACAACTGTGCACATCACTCGACGCAATGTTAATCATGATATATGCAACATTCAGACGAGAAACAATCATCATATTCTGTTTAACACAACTGGTGTACATTGGACAAATTAGGAAACTAGAAACACTGACTACCTTAATTATACAGAATCAATTTTAGTATGTAACTATTCAATTATTTTGTGGAATGACAATATCTATCTATGAGTATGATCAAATTAGGAGACTAATTCATCAAAGTGAACGAAGTCTATGAAGTAGATGTGTGAGTATGCATAATGGTATACATCAAAATACAAACTCACTACGATCACGCTTCAAAATAAGTGGATAAACGATTTCTTTCCTCTTCCAGTTGTTCAAAATATTACAGTCAGTCGTGTCAACATTAACTGATTCCATATCACTATCCTCTTCACTATCCCTTTCATCTAATAGCTTCTTGCTTGAATATCTGGCCATTGTATTCGTTGCTTTACTATTCTTGTTTTTAGTTAGTTAATTTCAATAGAAATGTAATCTAGCTAGTTAGGACATTGTCTTGATCGTTGACATTTATAGCATTTTGAATTGTACAAAATTTATGTTGTACACCACACATTCCTTTAAGTTGAGATGAGAAGAACCAAAAAAAAAAAAGAAAAAACAACCAGCCAGCAAAATCATGTCTCATATGATCAACTACTTTTAATTAAAAACTCATTATGAACATAATTTTTTTTCTTTTGAAGGTCTCAATAGATCTGTGTTATCCGTTGTGTTCTAATAAAATTTAAAGCATGAAACACAACTGTCTTAAACTGTGTGTAGTCCATTTATTAGACCACATTTGACTAAGGTCATAATCAAACAACGATGAACTGTTGAAAACGTAGTAAGACTCACTGTCCAAAAAAGGCTCATCTATTTTCACAATTAGCTAAGAGAGTATACTTTCACTTATTTCATTTATTTCATTTAAGAAGCATAAATTTTGACTTTTATGAATTTTTCGCAATGGAAATTATCAATTGATGTTAGCTAGACCATTAGTGAAAATCGGGGATAATTGAACAACTGTTCCATCTTAGTGAGGTACTCGTCATCCATGACCTACACATGTGGGAGTCGAATCCAGGACCATCGGTCTCGTGTACACACGAATAATCTCTGCTAGTCTGAGTCAGTATGTAATGGTGTTTGCTAATTTCTAGCTTTAAACAATTCGTAACGTTGTTAAATCTTCATCCACTTTTCGTGGTGGATAACTCTCTTCTAGCTGACATGGATTAAACTATTCTGATATTGGTATTCGTCAATATGGACATATACACAGGAAGCGATCAATCCGTTTACCAGGACGTAGTAGTTTATCAGTTGCCTGAATCATTATGCCTCTTTCGTTTAAATGTCGAAAAATTCTGTACTGAACAGGACGAAATATGTTCGCATATATCGTTCTTTAATGCACTATGTTATTTGAACATTATCTATTTTATCTATTGAACACCCGACACTTGACACGATGTATGGTCCATAATTGTTTGAAGAACTATGGGAGATTCGTTAATATAATTTCTATATATATACATTATTCTGCAGATATATTAATAGGGAGCCACATTAATTAATTGGCCAACAAAGGTGAACACTCATTAAATTACTTAGAATTCAAAAAACCACGCACTTCTAAGGTGATTATCAGACATTTAAGAGAGTGGTGCAAACTGAAGAAGGATTGTCACAGAATATCGAGCTTCATTTCATTCAAATTACGGTTTTAATAGATAAACATTAAATTATGATTCTGCTTTTTTTAGCAGCGAAGAAATATATAACTGCATATCGATGCCCATAATCAGACATCCTTGAATATCACTGTTTGAAGTTACTTTTTATCAGTTTTAACTCGTCTTTGCTCGAAAACTTAAAAAATTTTCAAAAATACACCTCTTAAGCAGAATAGTTTAATCCATGTCAGCTAAGAGACAGTTATCCACCACGAAAAGTGGATGAAGATTTAACAACGTTACGAATTGTTTAAAGCTAGAAATTAGCAAACACCATTACATACTGACTCAGACTAGTAGAGGTTATTCGTGTGTACACGAGACCGATGGTCCTGGATTCGACTCCCACATGTGTAGGTCATGGATGACGAGTACCTCACTAAGATGGAACAGTTGTTCAATTATCCCCGATTTTCACTAATGGTCTAGCTAACATCAATTGATAATTTCCATTGCGAAAAATTCATAAAAGTCAAAATTTATGCTTCTTAAATGAAATAAATGAAATAAGTGAAAGTATACTCTCTTAGCTAATTGTGAAAATAGATGAGCCTTTTTTGGACAGTGAGTCTTACTACGTTTTCAACAGTTCATCGTTGTTTGATTATGACCTTAGTCAAATGTGGTCTAATAAATGGACTACACACAGTTTAAGACAGTTGTGTTTCATGCTTTAAATTTTATTAGAACACAACGGATAACACAGATCTATTGAGACCTTCAAAAGAAAAAAAATTATGTTCATAATGAGTTTTTAATTAAAAGTAGTTGATCATATGAGACATGATTTTGCTGGCTGGTTGTTTTTTCTTTTTCTTTTTGGTTCTTCTCATCTCAACTTAAAGGAATGTGTGGTGTACACATAAATTTTGTACAATTCAAAATGCTATAAATGTCAACGATCAAGACAATGTCCTAACTAGC